TTCCTGCCTGTCAGCATCTAAATATACTCCGCATTCACACCTTCTGCCTCACTTTCTGTTTTTCTAAAAATAGCAATCTCTTTCCTTCCTTTGCGCGCGTCTAGAATTGGCTGCAGGCTGACTTCAAATGATCAATCCCCACTGACTCATTAATATCCGGTCGGTGAAAAGATTTTTGTTTAAACAGGATTTAGCAGTCAACTTGCGAAAGTTCTTGGGTATCGTTTGTGACTGTAGGTTTTCACGCTCATTCACAACGTTGTCAGTTTTGTTTTTCGTCTTTAATCAGGATACACTCCAAATGGTTGTATGGATGTTTCGATGCTCTAATATACTACTAATAATATATATTCCGTTCTGCGGCGTAGTCGAAAAGCCTCTCCTGGTTGTTGGAGGTGTTGTCCTAAAAACTGAAGTTTCGAACTGTTGAGACCAAATATGTTTGGCTTTCATGCGGATTGTAGGAAACTCATTCACTGTGTGGGTGAACCTGGATACAATCTTTTGAGGCCTCCGCCACACGTCCCCAAAGTTGCCGTTTAGCAGCTGTAAGAGATGTCGCAGCTGAACAATTTTGATCAGCCGCGTCCATCGAATTTCCTGCTACTGTAGTGATGTCAGACTGGTATCTGCCAAGCAAACCAGCAGTTGGAATAGCCGCCTTCCTAAGAACGGTCCGCCATTCCGACATATTCGTAAAGCTAGTTATTGTTTCGCGTGACCAACTAGACGACTTTTGTTGCCGCATCTCGCGCATGGTTGCTCACATTGCTCAGTTGGCACGAACGGAGGACGCAAGAGTCTTGATTCAGTTTCAGTGCTGCTACACAACCAGAAGAACGACAATAAAGAGAGGAAACACTTTCGGGATAACGAAAACCGCGAGTATGGCTGAGAAGAAAATAATTGCAGAATTTGTCTGAAAATCCGAGCGCATTTGTTACTAGCATGAAAATTGATGAATAAAAATTAAAAATAAAAATGTGTAGGTTTATTAACCTTTTCCCCCTACAATAGATCCTGGCTACGTCCTTGAGATGCATTATTTATAAGTTTCCTGCCATGGCCACATTAATATTAGACCTTTTTGATCAAACCCCTTTGGATGAGTATTTTTTTTTTTGTTTTTTTTTTTTTGGAGTCGAAGATATCTTGGGCATTCAGGGTTGGGGTCTCTCTTGCACTGATGTTCGTATTGTGTTTTTCTACCACACTCAGCGTTTAACAAGTCAATTATATAAGTATGCAGTAGTGGCTCGGCTTTTATGTTTCGTAAAAAAATCAAAGACTGACTGACTTGATCATAAGATAATTTAGTTTTGCTGCAAGTTTACTTTTTTCATTTCATTTTAGCAGGCAACTTTTAGATAGTATCCACTTCGCAAGTAAATTTGTTTGTCCACTAAAAGTTGTTGAAAATGTTATGTTTGTTCCCAGTGATCGACACGTTTTATTGTTTAGTTTTTGTCTATGCCAACTTTGCACAATCCATTAGAGTAACAACATTTACTAAGCAATAAAAAAAAGTCCAAAAATTCAAAGGCATACTCAAACACACTTTTTGGTAGTTGTATTTTTTCATGTTTCCTACATTTCGTTTACTTACAATGCATTTCATTGTGATGCCGTCTAATTGTAGTGTCAATTTATTCTGTGAACTTGTAAACATATTATGTAAATATTCGTATTTGCAAGTTGTTGTAAAGTTGTGCTTGCCAAGCGCACTTCAAATATGTTTATTCAGAGGTATGTTAACTTTATAAACAAAAGCAGTAAAATTCTTAAAAAATGTTCGCAAGTAATATTTTTAGCCACACAGACCTTAGGTAGCCAAATAAAAAGAATTTGGGCTAAAGGCTTAATAAAGTCTAAAAAGCAGGGTATGTAAATGTTAAAGTCTAATATTCAAGTAATATTTCCAAGACCTATACAATAAAGAATTAGGCTAGTCCAGTGATAATGATATTATATGCGTTTTTTTAATACCTATACAACTTCTATACGATTAATGTACTTAAATCGCTTAAATTTTTGCTAAATTTCCATAAATTTGTCGCCACTATTTGCATGAGTCTTCAAGTCCTCGAGTCATGCTCTTACATCTTTACTCACCAGTTATCCTTGGTAGCACCACGCCCCATTCCAACAGCTGCTTGCCCACGAAACCCGCCACTTCGGCGCCCAAACTGAAGCCAATCACATGAATGAGCCGCGTTTGATAGCCGCTCGCAACAAGGAAACGCAAAAAACGCGCCATGAAACGCGCTGCCACCGGCAAATTTTCAGACAGCATTTGTGTACCAAGGCAGCGCTGTCATGGGACTCCAATCGACGAGGATGACATTGTAATTGCCCGCTTTCAGAAAGGCTGTAAGGCAAATGGCGAAAAAAATCGAAATTACAGCAGGAGTGAGGCAGCAAGGAAATGAGGTGGAAGGTATTAAAAAAAAAAAGCGAGCGATTGGTGTGGGTGAATCAAGAGAGTAGCGGAGCCTGAGGATAGCAGTGCACGGTAAATCAACGCCAAAGTGTAAAATCCTAAAACCAGTTGAAAGCAGCCCTTCAGATTCGAAGAAGCGAGGTAAAAGCATTTGCCTTTGGCGTCCAACTTTTCACCATTCGCAGCCATCATTCACCGCGCTACGCCGCTCATTACAGAACCACCGAGAAGCCATTTATGTTGGAATTTCATTTCACAACATTTCGAATTTTGATTTTCATTTATTGATTGCAATTCAATTTCAATGCGATTTTAATTTGACAACCAGGATCGGAAGTAATCGCCGTTGCTGAAATGTCATCGTTTGCGCCAGGGCCGCGTCTAAAGCTTGGCCAATTACTCAAAATGGATGGTTGCCGGGCAATGCTATCATTTTCGCTTCACCTCTCCACAGCACCACTTCTCTTCGCAGTCACTTCAACACTCTCATCGCTTGCACACTCACCATCCTTTTAGTTGTTGACTGCTCTGATTGTCACCGGTGGCCGATTCGGAAAAGCCATGCAAATAAAAGCCAAGGGTTGTTGCAAATCGAAATTGCTTTTAGCCAGCCGGCGCTCATCGCCCAGATTGAGATTTTGTGGGTTTTGTGAATTTTTGCTGAAAGAAAAAATTGCAAAGATTAATGGGTAGTTGTAATGGGAAACACTTATTTACGTAAATATTTAGCTAATGGTCAAAACGGAATGGAAAGAAGCTAATATTTTTCAGTGTGACAGGTAATTTCGCTTGTATTAGTGGGACTAGCTGTAGTCGGATTTTGGAATTCGTCGTCGTTGTGCTTAAAAGTATGCAATGCCATCAACAAAACATAACCCATCTGCTATAACGAAAATTGGCTCGTTTCATATTTCCACTTTTCAGATTTTCGTTGCTCACTTTAAAGGGCTTTCAATTTTTTTTTTAATAATTTTTATTTCTTTTTTTAATTTTAAACAAAACTATTACAGTCGTGAAATGCTGAAAAACTGCACCTAATTTTCGTCCCTAAAATCAGCGGTGCTTCAAAATATGCTACTTTAAAAAGTAAGAGATGCTGTGTGAAGTGAGGTGATGCCCTTTTTGTGGTTTTTATTCACCTCAACAATTCATTTAAAGAATTTTTCGCGACGAAAGTTTACCTTATTATTAAGGACAATTTTAATCAAAATACTAATCCTGTGAAGAAAAATTAATGTACTAGCACCTTGTGTAATTTTCTTAGTGACTGAACTACAATAATTTTCGAAAATTTCGATTTGAAGAAAATGCATATAGTATGTATATTTACGGTTCCCCCAAAGATTTCATTATATGTATTCACATCGATTCCTAACTGCCAAAAGGACGTAAGAGACTTATTATCAAAATTTCCTTTTTGATGGAGAAATGCATCTAGATGCTCTACGACTCTGCATCAAAAATAAAATTTCGGAAAAAATTTTGTTTACGTCCTTTTGGCGTTGAAGGGTTAATATGTACATAAACTTTTCACAATGTTTTTTATGTTCATAATTAAGCTTCAGTACATGCATGCATGTACATATATATATGTGGACACTAAATGCCACCTCCGTTGCCCTAGTTACTTAATACTTACTTCGTGTAGAGCAGGAATTTAATATCTTCTCGTTCACGTATCGCACAGCAATTGGAGCAGACACCACGCGGCGCAGGACTATAGAATATTGGTGAGCCAGCTGTGAAATAAAAGTAAGACGAGAACTATCATATTAACTACATACATATAAGCATAAAAATATTGAAGAAATGTAAATTGAAGAAACGATATCAAAGTAGCACAGATAAATGAAATAGGGGAATAAGTGTAGGAAGTTGACTGAACAGCAGACAAATTTTGTAAAAAAAGTATACCTCAACTATGCGCATAAATACTTGTTTATGATTATGTGTGTATGTTTTACAAGGATGTAGGCGTATAAATATTTACTTTTTTTACACTGCTGCGCTGCTTTGTCTGGTCTAAACTGCAGTCGGCGCCAAAAATAAAAATGTAGGAGCACAGACACCGTTGCACCGCCGTTGGCGTAAAAAAATACATACATATATGTATGTACATATGTGCATAAATATACATTTTACGTAGAATTGTGACTTTAATATCTATATACATACACTCACCAGAATATGTTTGCGTACAGTGTTTGTTTTTGTTTTAAATATTTGCAATGTTTTTTGTAATAATTTTTATCGTTAATTTTTAATAGTAACATGGTTCATTCTGCATTAAATGGCATATAAATTAATGATTCAAGGTTTTTCAATATTTAGGATAAGTCGACAAATTTTCACCAAAATTGTCAACTTTAAAACAAAATTTTTTAAACTTTTTTTTGAGTATGCAGTTTTGTAGCTTCCTCAATTTCAGTATAATAAAGTGTAAGGTTTAAGTGACTATAATCTACCGTTAATTTTTGAGAATTTTTTTACTAACGCTCTTCGGTATTTTTTCCCATATATTCTGGTTACATACATTCTGGAAACATATTCTGGTTAGTGTATGTATTTAGTGATGCACTGAGGCTGGCTAGTAGTTAAGTTTTGTGCTTGATTAGCAAAAGCAAAACAAAACACAAATCTTGAGAAATAAAAAACGACGCATTAGTATTGAGCCTAGAACAAGAGGTATTCCTAGCTTCTCAAATAAATCGAAACACACAAGGTGGTTCTGTTGCCTAAGCCTGGTGCTTACCAGGATAGCTAGAATCATATCGACGAATATGCTGCTTGGATATCAGCGCTTTCTCCAATGCAGTTTGGTTTTCAGAAAAAAGCGGCAATAGAGAAAGTGGTGTCAATTGTATCGGATGCAATAGCACTCAAATGATGGAAGGCGGGAAGTAAACATACTGCTCGACATGAACTTGAACGTAAAAAATGCACAGTGCTCATTGTCGGGTCCAATGCTGTGTAGCTGTATGCAGTATCTGCGGTGTGATTTTTTCCTACCGAACCACATCAGATGAAACGGCAGAAGTCGTCGCCCAAATGACTCCAATTGCTATTTTTATTAACAGAAAAATTAAAATCGAGCAATAAAAGGGCTAACTGGACGATGATACGAAAGTTGTAAGAAGCCTGGAAAGCCTGAATTTATTTAAAAGTAGGGCGTGGATGTCACAAGAAGTACTTGCACAAGCCTTACAGGTACAGTCATTTGCGAAAAAATTGCCAAAATGAATCAACTGTTGAATCGGAAAAACTCTGTTCATGCTTATCACGGGTGCGCTACCTCGTATATACCGACCTTTAGTTCAAAAACTATCTTTACTACACAGATTGTCACGAGGCCTGTATGGGAAGAAGATACTTCTAGGAAGGCTTATCTTAACTATACTGCCATATAAACGGACGACTCCAAGCTGGAGCAGGTGATAGGACATGAGCGTAGGTATGCTCGCAGTTGTCGGTAGTGACCTTGTGTTGCAAGCTGAGTTAATAGTTATTAAGAATATCAGGCTAAACTTGTTAGGAACCTACAACCTGCCTACTCGACTTCATCTAACTAAAATAGAGGTACCGAATACACCACAAGCGTAATTTGGGTTCCTCGACACTGGGATATACAAGGCGGATGAATTGGCCAGAACTGGCACGTCCCTTTCTGCCACAAAATCCTCTCATAAAGCGGGTATGTAGCTTTCATCTTGCAAAGCATGACTTAAATCCTACTTTGTCGAGCTGGCGAATAGAAGATGCATTACTGAACAAAAAGGTAAAACGTCAAACCCGGCTCTGACTTGCAAAGATAGTTGCAACACCTTCAATCTCCACGAATGCCCTCAGCTCAGGATGGTTATTGAATTCATAACTGGTCAGAGATTATTGGAAACACGCGCTTGGTAAATGCTACAAATTTCTAACAAACGACTTTTCTTTAAGCTGCCGAGATGAAGAGGAAATCGAAAGCGTCGGGCACTTTCTCTGCCACTGGGATTGGCGGGACTCAGACTATGCTAGCTTAATAAACACTTTTTCTATCTGCTATTTTTATCGCCTCATAAATTAACGCTTTATAAATTTTGATAGACATAGGTTAATCGGTATCACAACAGAAACTGGAAGAAGAGAGGCACTACAACTTAATCTACTAATAAGCTGCTTTCCTTTAACCGAAATCACGCATCTTCGTCTTTTTTTCTCTTTCGAATTTTACTCATACCTAGCGATGAACACATACTAATGTAGAATTTTAGTTTCTTCACACATTTTAATTAAATTAATGCTCGCTGACACTACAAGTAATGCAGTACTAACAAATCGTGCTTTCTTACAAAAAGCAAACTTTAGTAAGAAACCATAAAAAGTAATAGGCGCAAAGTACAGAAAGTAAATGATCTGTCTCAAAAATTTTTTCACGAATTTCAGTTTAACAACGAACCTTAGAACAGTAATTGAATTAAATTTATTTTTTGTGACTTTCCTTATTTAAATATTTTCAGTGTCGCGAGAGGTTAATGTTTGTTGCACATTATTTTTCAACGGCTTTGTGTTTCTATTTGTAACTCAAATACCACGGTTTCACTGAATAGTGTTTTGTTTTGATTTATTTTTCATATTACTTACCTAAAAATAGTCTTTTATGAAGTTAAGCTATGTATTACGGTGGTTCTTTAAATATTAACTTCATGGGGCACCCTTTTTAATTCTAAGTGCAAAATAAAGACATCCATCAAAATTAAAAAATTAAAAAAAAAATTGGGATCGCTATCAGGTTTTGAAAAAATTATATTTTTTTTACATTGCACAAATGTTACAAAATTTTGCCATTGATCACCTATATTTAGCGAGTTCATTAAGTTTCAAGAAAATAACAAATTTATCACATTTCAAGTCAAAGTTTGTCGAATTTTTGCGATTTAAAAAAAAATATAGCGATCTCTAAAAATTGTTTTAAAATTCCGCAACTCCCGTGGATGTCTTTATTATGTACATAGAAGCACAAGGTAAAATAATATAGACGTTAATATTTTTTAAGCCCCTCTAGTGTATATGTTCCGATTTTTAAGATCAGTCAACGCCAGTGACCACTATTGAAGTACATATATTGAAAAAACAGATATATTTTACCTATCCGGAATTTCGCATTAGGAACGAAGTATTCTTTCACTACATTTGTTTCTAACATTGATTTTTTATATTTTTTTCTTTCTTTTAAAACTTTCCAAACTTGTTTTCTTTTGCCCCCTTAATTGTTTTGGCTTTTGTTTACATGCATTTTCTTTGCATGTTTTCTTTCACCAATACTTCGCTTCAATGCAAATTTATTAAAATTTACCAAGCTCGCAGTGGAAGGCCGCTGCGCAGAAGAACCGGCCCAAGCTAAAGAGCGAAGCTGATGACTTTGCGCGCTTAACTTAATCGCTGCCATGAACTTGAATTGTAAGCTTGTGAGCAAGTTCAAACAGCAATCGGCTACGGTATTTGAGTCAATGCGGCATTTTTTAGCGTAAATTTGTATTTTATGCTTTTCTTGCATTTGCGTTTTTTTGCAAACACTTGCGTATAAATAAAACATAAAAACAACATAGCAATATCACGAATAGATAAAAAAAATTGCTTTTATAGACAACATAAATTCGAAATAAAATAAATATTGGCACCACGACAGCTACTTAAGCTTGAAATATTTGTTAGTAATTTTTTGCAGTAAGCTGTTATTTCTAATTTTTGTTGTATTTAAACTGTCTTTCTTTGTTTTTGTATATCTAGATGCGGATGAACTTTTCACATGTCTTTTTCCCTTTTTTTATCATTTTAATGTGATACTAACGACCTTGTCAATGTCAGCTACTTGTGCTCAGCTTCGGCGTTTGCAATAATAGCAACATTTCTTTCATATCAAAGTCTGCATATGCATATTTTTTCTTTTTAATGTATTTTTTATCGCCTCTGCCGAATTTGCCTAAGCAGTTATCGCTGCTAAAAAATTGGCATAACTAACTAGCAAGCAACGAATATTTTTAATTAAAAACATGCGCAGGTATGTATTTATATTTGAATACGCCCGTATTATTGTTAAACAATGTTAGATTCATTAAGCGCAGTCTGTGTTGGTTATCTTCTACAAATAATTTTTCAGTATCAAGCAGTGGAGAAGAACGTACGATTGCGACTACGAGTTCAACTACGAGTAAGGCAAAGTGAAAATTTCAAGTGGTTAAGAATTCGCGTTGATTTTTTAATTTTTTTTTGCTGACGGCGCTAAGCACTTTCTTCAAAGGTCAACTATGTAATTCAATATCTACCTTTTCTTATCCATTTAAATGAATTAAATTTTTCAAATAATTGGCAACCCGCTTCAAACATCTTTTCGACGCTAAACATTTTCAAACCTGTTTGGTTTAGTAGCCGTAGTATTTCATTTACTTTATCAATTGAATACAATTTTTCAAACATGTGGCAACCCTCCCCAAAAATATTTTCGACAGTAAACTTTCCTAAAACACTTAAGTTTGACACCCCTGGCGCAATATTTAATTTACCTTATAAATTACATTAAATTAAAATTTTCAAAAAGGTGGCAACCTTCCACGAAAATATTTTCGGCTGTTAGTCTTTCTTTTGACAGCCATATTGCAATATTTACTTTATCTTATCAACTTACTTAAGCAACTTTCCTACAGGTGCCAACTCTCTACTTTTTTTTCTTTCTATATTTTAAGTTAGACCACTAGCAATACATCGGTGAAAATTCCATTCAATTCCATGTATTAGCTTTTGAGTCATGCGCTTCCAAACATACAAACAGACTGATAGACAAAAATTCTAAAAAACCACATCTCAATTTTTCTTTAATATCTATAATGTACAGATATCTGCCTGTTACAACTTTATTATATGCATAAATAATACAAGTAGAACAGATGTGGAATTCACCTACATACAAATGTTTTTACCAAAATTGAAATGGGAAAAAAAATATTTAAAATTTACCACTACGAGTAAGTTTGGATAGTTTTAAAAAAATATTTTAGAAGTAAACAAAAAAAAATTGGATTTCGATAACCATTAAGTAAATTCCTTACTCTAAAATTTAGGTGGCAACCCTATTCCGAAGTACACTGGAGTTAATGGTACATATCTTGAGCATATATATACTGTTTATACATACAAAAAATGTGGAACGAAACTAACAAAATAAAAATTTGTATTACATAGAAGCGCGGCAACCCAGATAGAAAATGTTTTCTGACCAAAGTTCTCAACAATACCCTTCATTTGATATCCACATTGCGATGTTTTAGATAAATTGTGTAGAATCGAAAATAAGTGGCAACCTTACACTATTATCCTAAGAGATAATATTTTGTATACAGGGAAAGCATTGTTTAAGGACCTTCTCTTGGTACCCATGAAAGTAATATTTTAGATTTTTATCTAAACAAAAAATTTAATAAATATGCTATTCCAAACAGGTGGCAACCCTATTAAAAATATTTTTTAATGAGGGATCTTTAAAATACCTTCCGTTTGATACCCATACAAACATTATCTGTGTTCAAAATTTCATCAAAATCATTAAAGGCGTTTCCAAGAACCCTATGGATATGTGTGTATATACATATATACAAGAATCGCTCATTTATTGTAATAAAATATTTTATTTTCTTTGATTTCTTTTATTGTCAGGGCATTTTTATGGGTTTTTAAATATTTTCAAATGCACGGCCTACTATGTATAAGAAAATTGCCGCAATAGGATTAAAAAAGATAATAAAAAATTAATTTTAAGCCAATTTTTTTTTAATATTTAGTACGAATATTTAGTAATAAACCAAAAATTTTAGTTGTCTATACATAGATTTGCTACCATTTTGATATGACTCAAGCACGAATAGTACAAGTAAGCAGCTTTATGAATACCGCCATTTAACTAAATTCATACATATGTATGTAAAATGTACAATACAGATTTTTTCCACACCATAAATTAACGCTATTTGCGTGAGTAATTAGCTACTTTTCGCTAAACAATTATGATATTTATTTTTTCTATTTTATTCGTTTGGTCTAATGCGTAAAAACTTAGTTCTTCATTTCAGTATCATTGCTAGTACATGTATATGTATTTAGCTATGTATTGGATTTGAATGTTCCTCTTTATATTTGTTGTAGTGGCTTTTAAATGTTATTCACTTTTCATTTAAATCTTACTTTTTTTAATTACAAATCCATTTTATATTTTATGAGTTTTTCTGTTGAGATTCTTTGTTTCTTGCCTCCGACAAGGTGTGATTTTTACTACTGTTTTGCTAATCATTTATGACCATCTTTAGTCACGGTTAAGAGCACTTAGTCACATTTCCGAATGAATGATTGAATGGTTCTTGGTTTTATGACAAGTGGAATTAAAACGGTTTCTGTGTCAATGTTAATAGATCTAATAAGTGTAAAGTATACTATTTTATTTTAAGTAACTTTTGACAATCAATCATAAGCAATCATATAGAGCAGGATTAACTTGTGATTCATACATTGTGAGCAAATAACTAAAGACAAATATAATGAAAAAATAAGTTGAAATGTGAAGGGCCAGAACTATTTATTCCAGGGGGTAAGCATACTAGTATAAAGTTCTAAAATCCAATCACTAAACAAATAGGCCTTGAGCTGTATAGGCACTGTAACTTAATTACCTTTTAGCTTATATTATTTGACAGAATAATATTGAAAAGTGTCCAGCTTTTCGAACTACATATCAAACCATTTTGGGCTTCCAAAGGCTACTAGAAAAGGAGGTCTTGGAATTCAAATCATTTACAGTCAGTAAAAAACTAACTCATCTCAGGCGAGTATTTAGCTCTAAGTATTCAACTTTTTCATATTATTGAAGAGGTGGAATATATAGTAGGGCTTATTGATGACTCCAAGCTAGCCAGCTTGAAATCTACGAAAACGCCATTATTAAATTCGAATAGCTACGAATGTAACACATCGCTACGGTGACCATACGTCCTGTTTTTTGCAGGGCTGTACTGTTATTCAAAGGTCTAAGATCTGCCCTGCGTAGTTTGTTTTTTCAAAACAGAAAGACCTGAAAATGTACAGATTTTTCCTAAGTGCCCTGTCTTTGTGCCGCAGTTTATTGGGAAAAATTAACGGCGGCAACCCTTTACTGATCTAAATATAAGCAGTGTCGATAACTGAATGATAACTTCATGATGGTGAGGGAGATTTTGAAGCTTCAACCAGTCAGTGCGTTCTAAATTTTGTGCGGCCACCTACCATGGATCATGTGTAATTGAAGACCAGCATCAAAAATATCAGTAACACTGCTCTACAAATTTTGTGGTGTTCGCGTGAACCTAGAAAAAAATGTTTTTCAAGCTAATTTGGATTCGCTGAACACGAAAACAATAGCCAATTTTCTTTTCAAAGAAGCGTTTTCGAAATTGTTTGGGAAAAATGTGCTTTTTGTACCTACTTTTCGGAGCTTTCGTCAATATCTCATGAAAAAATTATCCACGTACATATATAAAGGTATTGATGTGATTCATACAAAAATATATGACTTTTAGTGAAAGTTTTTGGTATACCAGCGACCAAAGTCGAAAAATGTGAAAATTTCAATCATTTTTGAAAATTACACAGTTTCAATTGACTCCTTTTTTCATTATGTTTAAATTGCTATATAAAAGATAAATCATTAAAGTAAATTTTTGGCATAAGATAATGAAAATATTATGGGAAAGGTAGAAGTTATGGAGCACAAGCTATAAAAATTATACTACGCGTTTGTCGAAAAAATCTGTATTGTTTTCGAATTCAGTAACCGAAAGTTTATCTAGATAATTGCCTTTAACAGAGGTTTATTTTTCGTGTAAACCAGTGTAATTATAAAAAATTTGTTATACATCATTTTATAAATATTATTTTTTATACTACGCGAGTATGGTTAGGTATATTTTTTTTAATTGTCCTGCATTTTCAATTCATATTTATGGCCACCATACATATCACACACCTAGGGATGGCAAAATAAATTAAAAAAAAAATGAATTATTTAATCATATGATTAATCACAAGGCAAAAAAATAATTCCAATTAACTGCAGTTATTGATAAATAATCGATTAATGGATTTTTCTAAGGCGCAGTCAGTATTCACAAAAACACTTTTCCATAAAAAATATCGAATTCTCTTGTACTTACATTTTCTTGGGGAAGTTAACCGGATTTTCTTCAAAGATTTTAATTTTTTTTTTTATTGAGCCACGATTGCTTATTAGGAAAAATTGAAAAAGCAACAAAGTCTAAACGGTAGAAGTTATAGCACTATTTCGGAGATCTAGAAAAAAGAAGTCTGATGAGGAGATGTAGTGATCTCCGAAATAGTGCTATAACTTCTACCGCTTAGACTTTGTTGCTTTTTCAATTTTTCCTAATAAACAATGGTACAAAGCTCAATAAAAATATTAAAAATAAAATGTTAACAAGCCACAATAATATTGACGAATTTTTGTTTTTTTGATTGTCAGTCACAGAACTTTTGCCATTATTTCTAACAATATATGTATTTCAAATTACCAACTACAGGTTTGGTTCACTTTATTTGCATATGTAAATGTGTATGGAGTAAATTCTAGAACTTTAGAATTTATATTTTTTATATTTTCGAGTTACATACAAATTGTAAAATATTAGCTAAAACAGAATAAAAAAATTGTATTTAATTGTGAACATTCTCTTTGAATTTTGGCCCTCCATTTTTCACTATAAGTATTTACACAAAAGATTGCTAAAAAAAATCGATTTTTCATCCACCTACTTCGCTAACTATTAATTTGCGCAACACGTTTTAATATTTGTCTATTTTCGGTTTCGGATTTCCGTATTGGCCGATATTAGGTTTAGTTCTTGTTACACAAGATTTGTTCTTAAAATTAGCAGCAAATCTTTAATATTTAACAGTTGTGAGAAGTTCTTACCGATTAGTAATGAGAATATTCCACATAATGTTGAAGTAGCAGGAAGCATTCTCGTTCCTAGCGAAGGTCGAATTTAGCGCTAAGAATTTTGTGTACTCTTTTCTACTATTTTTTTTTAGTAGCCACTAATCGTTTTTTTTATTTTAGCAAACAATAGCTAATCGTTGATCAGTTTAGGTTTCTATCGACGTGAAGTGATAAAAATTAGCATACGAAAAAAGCTCACAAAATAGCGTATAGTAACAATTGGCCCCCTGTCGTACTCAGCGGGAGAAGTGCGATTTCATTTAAAGTTGTACGTAGTTAATTTATTATTATTTTTATGTCAGCACCAACATTTCTTAATGTAGTCAATAGAAAATTTTAAAAGTATTGCTAAAGCAAATCTAGTGTTTCATCGTTAAAAAAATAAAAATTTTAAATTTTTGTTGATTTAGCAATAATTTTAGCTTCTTCAATTATAAATTTTTTTCAAATACAAAAAAGTTAATAAACAAATTTAATATAGCTTTTTTTGTCGGATGAAATACTTTGAGTTTTATTTTATTAACCGACTTCAAAAAAGGAGGAGTTTATCAATTCGTCGGAATATATTAATTTTTTTTATGCATGTTACCGCACAACTTTGGACCACGTTAACCGATTTATATAATACTCTTTTTAAAGGAAAGGTGGTACCTCAGAGGTGGTCCTATAATAATTCGGTTTAGATCCGATCATAAGATCATGAAGAAATTAACGGTACTCTAAAATTTTTTTATGAGAATTAAAGTCGAATTTGTTTTTCGCTCAAAAATTACTTGTTCAATTCGCTTCAACATGCCTTCGTTCGAGAAGTATTTAAACATTAATACACATTAAAAAAATTTAAAAAAAATTGCATTTTTTTACTTTTATTTTTAATTTTTAGGGAATTATTTTTGATTCGCTTTGTTTTTCACTTGTCACTTATAATTATAATAAAAAGGTTAAACACAATTTGTTTAACAATTTAAAAAAAAATTGTTTAATGCTGTATTAAGTTTATTTTCCAATAATTTTAATTGATTTTAAGTGATTTAGTTCAGGTATTTATTTTTTTGGAATGTTTTTTTTTACATATCTATTAAAAAAATTAAAAATTATAAAAACGTGCAAATTTTTTATTAATGTTTAAGGAATTGATTTTAAATCGATTTATTTTTCACTCGTAATTTTTTATTAAAATTTAATCACAAACTTTTTTTTTAACTACTTTTTACATTTATTTTTAATTTTGTATTAAAGGTATTTAAATTTTAGTTCATATACGTATTAAAGTAATTAAATTTACACTAAAAAAATTTCACTTTTGATTTAGTACAACTTAAATTTATTAAAAAGATATTTTTTATGATTTACTTTATTTTGTATTTTTATTGAGCATATTTAGTTATTTTATATGTCTGAATATTTGCAGAAGATTAAACTGGGAAATAAAGAACCGAACTGGTACCCATTGATTTTCATAAACAGAATATTTTAAATAAAAATTTTGAAAATTAATTTTTAATCCACCTCTATACTTAGCATTAAATTCAAAATTTTTGAATGTTTTAACACGCTTTTTTACGCTTAATTTTGCTACTTATATTTTCTTATAACTTCAACATTTTATTTATTACATTTCTTTAAAAATCACTTTTCTTATTAAAAAATTTGTTTGTCCTATCTATTCCGTCTGCTACGCTGCGTCGCGCGCTTGTTATGCAACCAATTCCGTGCGAGTAAAAATCAACACTAAAATTACGCTAAGCGAAGATGTACTATGCGAAGCTATACCTTAGACTAGCAAAATGCGCAAAAATAAATAAATAAAAAAATGCTTAAATAAAATTAATGAAGAACAAAACAGCAAATACAAAGAGCGCGAGAACTTTGTTACTAATCAGCTGTTTTTACGAGTATATTTGCCTCATAGCACATTTGGCTGCTCATAAATCAAGTGAAGTTGTCGACTTACATATAAAAAAAATAACAAAGCTGAAAAAATAGCAAATAAAATCAATGAAAAGCAAAATAAAAGCAAAAGTAAAGTGTCTCGCTCCAAACAAAAGACTTAAGCAGCCAACTTGCGTTTGTTATACTTTGTGTTGCCTTTTCAAAGCAAACTGAGCAGACGACGGCTGCTTAGTGACGTCATAGTGTGTCGCGAAAAAACGGAAGCGAAGTAATAGCCGGTTGTTGTTTGCATTGTTGTTGTAATATTTATCAGCGCTTAACTCTTATTTCTAAACATAGCTGGTCGACACGCGGCAAACGCAATGTGCTTGGTTTTTTTTTGCCTTTTTATGTAAATTTCGTGTTTACACCAATAATTGCTTGTTTACATTGTAGGTTTGGTATGTATTATGGTTACAAATTTGCTAAGCTCTTAGAAAAAATTTTTAAAATATCTGCCCTCATGAAATGTTAAAAACTATGTATTTGTTTTGTCAAATGTTTAGTTAAAATTTTACTTTCAAAATTATTTTTACTATTAAAAATTACTTGAGAAACTAACTTTAAAATTGTTTGCTTGAATAATTTACATATTTTAATTTTGTTGTAGGTTTGGTTGTACGTCAAAAAGTTGTATGTTCGTTTGATAACCCTAATTAAAATAGTACCTAATTTATGTATATTTACATACATATGTACTCGTATGTAGTTGGACACGCTAATGAATTTGAAATAAAATTTTGCATACAAAATTCATTTGTGTAATATTTATTGCTTAGATAGCTGGCAACCTTATTCTTAAATGTTGGCATTTAATGTTTCTCAAGCAGCTAATACTCGAATACTTTAAGTAAAACTTTTTGTAGTTCATAGGAGGGTAGTAACCCTTCTACACCCAATTTTTTCATTAAGATGGCCTCGAGAGTATTTTGTTGATTTGGGTTTTGATTTTGGCAACCGTATTACAGGTGGCAACCATATTCCTGAATTTTGGCATCGGATGTTTTTCAAGTAGCTTTAATTTAATATCCATACTAGATTACTTTATGTAAAAATATATATAGCTCGTAGATAGGTGGTAACCCTTTTGACAACATTTTTTTTTCATTAAGATGGCCTCATTTTTTCATTAAGATCAACTATTTTACTAATTTTTGTTTTAGTTTAGTTACTGAAATTATTTATACAATTTATTTTTGTTCTTTAACCAGGTGGCAACTCTGGTTCAATATATGCTTTCTTAAAATTTTCTCAACCCCATATCTTTTTATGCCCAAATTTTATGTCTCTGGGTTAAAGTACTTTTCGCTTGTCATAAATATTTCAAAATCTACAAATATTATTATAACATATTTTTTATAACTAATTATTCTTCATACAAGTGGCAACCTTAGGCATACATTTTTCTGCCGCTTGTGGAGTTCTTTATCTCATTAGTTTACTCCTTGACATGCTCTGTAAGCATTTCTAATTGATTTTTTTGATTGATTGTCGTTCCGAGTCGCGCGTGTCGCCAATAATCGCACTCGGTTTCATCCGCCTAGTAAGCTGTTATTTTATAGGCTTGCGGCGCCGAGTAGCTACATTTACTATTCAATTGACAACGTCGTTTGCGCACTTTTTGGGCTACATGTACCACCACTTTAGATTTTTTTT